ACGCCATGCGATCTCAGGATACATCTTCATGCTGAACGGCGGCGCCGTCTCCTGGTCCTCAAAGCGGCAAGACCTTGTCACGCTTTCAACTACAGAGGCTGAGTATGTGGCTTTGACTCACGCTAGCAAGGAAGCCTTGTGGCTTCGCTCTTTCATCATAGAACTGTTTGGCGAACCCGAGCGTCCCATCCCTTTGTGCTCCGACAACCAGTTCGCCGTCGCGCTATCGAAGGACGACCGATTCCATGCGCGTACCAAGCATATCGATATCCGATTTCATTTCATTCGTTATTCCATTGCTGAAGGAAAGATTTCGCTTACTTACTGTCCTACCGAAGACATGACCGCCGACATCCTTACGAAGGCGCTCCCGTCGTTGAAGACCAAACACTTCGCTGTGTCCATGGGACTAGCGAAGGTTTGAGGGGGAGTGTCGTGATTTGTGATCTGCGGCTCGCCTTGATACCTATAAGGTTATATTGTTTCCTAGTTTAGTATTTACTCACCCCACTCGATCTTGAGCTCCCCAACGCTCACTTCCCTTCAGACACTTGACAGTTAGCATATATATTCGCAGCGAGTACGTCGGATGCCCCAGAGGCTTTACCCTGGTGCAATCCGCATACGTGGTTTTACATATAGTTCTGCACCGTACAGATGTACTTACGCTTAGCACAGTGACGTGATAGTACACGTCACTTTAGGTATGAATAGAGAGGCTTTACCCTGGTGCAATCCGCTGACGCGATAGTACACATCACTTTAGCCCTCCGGTCTTTCCGTGTCGAGTAGACGCAGGCGTACCAGCCGCGTTGACCCCTCGCGGTCATCCGTTGCACCTCTGCACTGTAGCGCGTTAGATAGAGGCAATGGGGACCTACGAGCTAGTTGAGAAGCTGGAGAACGCACACGTCGTCGAGTCGGTATAGTCGCTCTGCAGGAAACGCAACGAGAACAACGAGATCGCGAAGTACAAGGCGCGCCTGTGCGCGCAAGGGTTCTCGCAGATCCCGGGCATCGACTTCGACCAGACGGCATCACCAACAGCAAGTCTTGCATCGCTACGGCTCGCACTCGTGCTCGCCACTGCTAACGACTGGGAAATCCACCAGATAGACTTCAAAAACGCATATCTGAATGGCAAGCTTGACGAGACCATCTATATGAAACAGCCGCATGATTTCGAGGTTCCCGGACATGAAGACTATGTCTGGAGGCTCATCAAGGCACTGTATGGCCTCAAACAGGCTGGCCGACAGTGGTATATTCAGCTCTGTGAGCTGTTCACTGGCCTGGGTCTAGAGCGAAGCAAACACGACTTTGGTGTGTTCTTTGCCTTCGTCTCTAACATCATCATTATCATAGTGGTTCATGTCGACGACTGCACACTGATCACCAATACGATGGCCACCATGACCGATCTCAAGCGGGAGCTCACCGCACGGTTCGAAATTGTCGACCTGGGCGAGGTGCACTGGCTGCTAGGATTCGAAATTCGCCACGACCGCACTGCCCGCACCATCTCGCTCTCACAAGCTGCGTACATCAACACAATACTCGATTGCTTTGGCATGACCAACGCTTATGTACTCACGTGTTGACTTTCTCGGCCAGCCCGCTGCGCGGCCAGGAGTTCGGGAGTCGCCTGCTCTCTAGAAGATGGCTCCATGGGGCCAAACTGATGGCCCGTCCCATTGTAGCCACGCCCTATTATATACATGCATGCTACTACTCTCCTACGCCGGTGGCGCAGGTCACACCGGGGCCTCTCGCATCTGCGCTCCATGCCCAGATTCCAACATGCCCCCTCGACCTAGCCACTGCTGCGTCAATCCCATTGTGGGCCACACGCCTGTACTGCACTCCCTGTCCCCAGGAATGCCGGTCTCCGTTCCATGTGCTTCCCTGCCCGCCTCGGTCCATATGCCAGTCTCGGCACCCCCTGATCTTGGGTCCCGGTCTCCGTACCATACACATCCCGTATGTGCCCATTTTCAGTGACTTCCTATAGTGCCCCCACGCGCTCGTCCCTCGCTCGGTCTGCACGTCAGTCCCGATGCCCCTTGGATTCGGGTCTCGGTCTCCGTTCCGTGCACGCTCCGTGCAAGTGCCTCGCTCAGCTTTTCTTCGGTGCTCCACATGCTGTGGCTGTGCCGCTTCATCGGACTGCCAGCCTGTCTCGCTCGGCATCTGCTCGGCCTGCCCTTTGACGCCCTGCTCTGCCCTCACCTCGCTGGTAGGCCCACCTCACGCAGTGCCCGCCCCCTGTGCCTGGTGTCTTGTATCACGGCAGTGGTGCCCCGCAGTCAACCCTCTGGCCCTCACCCTCCTGCCCTCGACCTCCTGATCCCACCTCTGCCCAGTCGCACCTGTCCCTCAGCTGCCCTGCAGCCTTCACACCTCGGCGACCTGCCCCAGCTCCCAGCCCTTGACCTGCCAACTGGATCACTCACCAGTCAGCATCATGGTCCCCAGCAGGAACCTCGTAGTGGTGATTCTCGTCGATTGCGGTGAGTGCCTCTTGGTCAATAGTGATCGGTTTGTGTTGAGTTTTCCAGCCAGCCCGCTGCACGGCCAGGAGTTCGGGAGTCGCTCGCTCTCTAGAAGATGGCTCCACGGGGCCAAACCGATGGCCCGTCCCATTGTAGCCACACTCTATTATATACACGTGCACTACTACTCTCCCACGCCGGTGGCGCAGGTCGCACCGGGGCCTCTCGCATCTGCGCTCCATGCCCAGATTCCAACATCATGGTCCCGATGGACCCCCACATTAACCTCTTCAGTATCGAGCTCTCAGACGAAGATTGCGCGCACATGGCTCGCAAGTCGTATGCAAGGCTCGACGAAAGCCTTATGTACGCCGCTATCGGCACACGTCCCGACATCGCATTCGCCACTTCGACACTGGCGCACTTCATGGCTGACCCAGCGCCCGCGCATTGGGAAGCCGCAAAACGCGTGCTGCGCTATCTTAAAGGCACACGCGACCTGGCCTTGATATTCGGTGCGACAACTGACGGTCTTATAGGTTACACTGACGCCGACTGGGCCTCGCAAGCCCACCGTCACTCGATCTCGGCATACAGCTTCCTCTACTCTGGGGGAGCTGTCAGCTGGTCTTCGTGCAAGCAGCCCCTTATCGCGCTGTCTTCCACGGAGGCCGAATACATTGCCGCATCTGACGCGTCGCGCGAGCCTGTTGTGGCTACGCGCGCTTCTCGCGGAACTCACCTCGCCTCTGGCAGAACTGACACCGTTACACGCCGACAATCAGAGCGCAATTGCGATCGCGCAGAGTGGACTCCTTCATGCGCGAACGAAGCATATCGACATTCGCTACCATTTCATTCGTGAGGTTATCGATATGGAACATGCCGTCATCTTGTATTGCCCGACCAACGACATGGTTGCCGACCTTCTTACCAAGGCATTGACCCGCCAGAAGGTGGAGAAGTTCACCGGAATGCTTGGACTTCGCCTGGCTTGAGGGGCAGTGTTGGAATATCAAGCCTAGCTATACTTAAGTATGGACTTATCAGTTAGTATTCCCTTTTATGTATTTATTGGGCATTAGTGCCCGTAAGACTTTTCACCCGCTTCGCTCGTTCTGCGGGCTTCAGTCCTTCTATCATCAAGGAGCTGAAGCCTGTGAGTACCGATACTGTCCTGCATGAATGCAGCTTACATACTAATGTACTGTAGTTGACTCTAGGTACATACTACTAATACAGTCCTTCTATCATCAAGGAGCTGAAGCCTTTGACTCTAGCGTGTGTCCTCCCGTCCACTCCTTTTCCATCCGTTTACATTTTTTCCTCTGGGATTCCTGCCGCAAAATGACAGCAACGGGCATCACGCACACGGGTCAACTCGCGAGCTAAGAAACGCTCATGAAAAGCTTCCTGCACCGATCGTACCAGGTGATGAAGAATCGTGCCACTTCGGTCTTGGCATAGACGCGCTACATGCGCGATTTTTATAAGCAGGAAATAAACACCAGGAGTGCGGGAGGTTCAGTCGACTGATTTTGCTTTCAAGCTCAGGCTGTCGTGCTCCGATTCCATTATAAGATTGAAAACATCAAGGAAGAGTTGGCTGACAAAGTCACGGAAGGAGCCAATCGATAACCTGCTCAAGACCGCACGCTTGGTATCTAGGCTGTGGATATGCTACTTCTTCCCCGTGTCTTGTCCCGTATCAGCAGGTCTGTCAAGTGCGGGATTGATGCCTCAACGTCTCAGAACAGGCAACAATGCAGTGATGTACCGGTGCGCTATTGAGTGGGCAATATCACCTTCATTGTGAACTTCCACTTCACTTACGTTGACATTCTCCGTCTGTCTGGCACAGCGGCTTAGAAGAAGTGCCGTTATCGATGCAGTTAGGATCTCCTTAGGGATAACGGACCATCCACTTTCCGATATATCCTATCAAATCGGAAAAGTGCACTTGTTTCAACCCCGTATCGGGCGTTCTCTTCTGAATGTGTCTCTTATCGCCGCTCGTTTACCGTCTACGCGTCTGCCCTTCTCTTGCAATTGACGTGCATGACGTAAAAACGAAACTTGACGAGTCTTTTGTTTGCATACGCCAGTGCAACATTCACATGAGTGGTTCGTGACAGCTTTCTCACACGAAATTAGATGCGACATGACAGGTGGCCGTTCGTGTGGAGTGTTCCGGCCTTCGTTCTGAATGTATTTCAGTAATCTTCTCTTCCTCCCAGGTTCTCCGTTCATCGCCTTGGCTGTGGCAGACCCTTATTGAAAGATTTACCTACGAGCGTCCGGGACCGAATTGAATCCAGCGCATTTCCGATGCGTTCGCGCTTCATGGGTGCCAATCACCTTCTCGCTGGGAGAGTGGATGAATGCTTGTTGCGGATGTCGGTTTTTTACGACATGCGGCCCTACTTCGATTTGACATGGCGCCCCGGAGTCTCGCGCCTTCTATTACTCTTTGTATCCAAAATCCAAGAGTGTCACTTGCGGTGTTTTCAGTCTTGGAAAAAGTGATACTTACGATGACCTATATATTAGGCAGAAGTGCAATAATTGGGCCGTCCAGCATCGTAGGTCGTCTGCAAGAGCATCTGTGAGTTCATGTCCATTATGTGAAGGTTTAAACTTACTCAACATGGTGCCGTCCGCAGAACGTCACTGGTATCTAGATATGGTCCAGAACATCGGCAAAGCCCAGTCAGACGAGCTGGTAGGTTGCCGTTCGTGATCTATAACCGTCCACCTTCTGAAACAATCTCTAGCCGGCTCTTCTCGAGGTATCGAGAGCAGCAATAAGCTACCTACTGGACGGTCTTCATGTCAGCCCCACGCCCATGCACCGCGATTTCGAGCTCGAGTCTCGGGTCAGAGAACTGGCGCAAAGTTGGCCCTTCGGTGAACGTATCCGCCCTCACATTGTCACAGCCCTCACAATCACCGAAACGGCGTATCATCACGTGTCGGATATGAACGCTAAAGTCGCTATCACCGTTTTCACCGCTCTCCTTACCTGCATGGACGATCCTGGCAAGCACAATTCCGATGCCGTAGATTCCATCGATCATTATCGGAGGCTTTGCAACGGGTCCGCTATGCACGACCCCGGAATGCTTGGAGAACTCAACAGATGTTTGAAGGGGATGTGGGATCTCTACCCGCCCCTCGGAGCGAACGCAATCTTTATCGCCACTCTCAAGTTCATGAATGGCACAATGTTGGAGAACTCGGACGAATCGGCCTTCAGTAACAGCAGCGGAAGCCGTGCATTCGTGGAATATCAGCGAAACCTCACTGGCATCTCTGAAGCATATGCATTCTTCATTTGGGACAAGAAATCGTTCCCCGACTCGCGCGTATACGAGCGAGCGATCCCGTAAGTTATATCGCTCATCAGCGTTATCTAAATCAGTCTCTCAAATTATGCATGTAGAGACGCTGCATTGGCTGTAAATTACGTCAAGTATGCTGCTGTTCATTCTCATGCCATTGAAATCTATCTGACATATAATCACGCCAGTGACCTTCTCTCGTTCTACAAGGAGGAAGCTGCAGGTGAAATGGTGAACTACATTCACAATCGCGCTATCGTCATGCACAGATCAGCCGCTCAGACTCTGTGCGAAGTCGCCGACGAGATTATCGCCGCGTCTGCCCGTGTTCGCAGCAATCTCTTGAGCGAGGATGCGATAGATGCATGGGATAGCTTCGAGAAGGGCTACATCATGTTTCATATCGGCGACCCGCGATATCGTTTGCAGGAGATCCTTGGAATGGAATACATGATAGATGCATACTAGAGATTGTTGTTAGACTGATAGTACTTTGCTGTAGACGAGTCCCATTCTACTTGGCGTCCTTCTTCTGTAAAATACTCGTGATTATTAATTTACATGCGTCCATGCAAACTTGTATTAAGATCCCTTCTCAGCGTCAATGGACTTCGGGTCTTGCTGATCAGTATTCAAAGATCTTCATCAAGTAGATAACGGGCCGAAAGAGAAAGTCTTTCATGATTGTTGTCGATGGCCGCAAAGCAAAACGTGTCCTGTGTCATGGAAGCGGTGAGTTCCCTAAGGGACGATGTGCGTGAAAGACCTTCGAGCGGTAGTTCGCTTCGTAAGCGGTCTACAAACATATAAATGGGATTGCGTCTAAGCTCAATACATTGGCAGTGGACATCCGTATTCAAACTATGCATATTTGTCATAAGATCTGTTTATTTCCAATAAACCATTACGAGACGCTGCCCTGGACCTGAACCACTATCCACTATCCACCATTACGCGAACGCAGAGGCGTCCATGAGGTATTCCCCTCCGAGCACATCCTTGAGGCGATACCGGGGATTAATCATGTGAACGCCGATGTAGCCTGCCGCGAAACTCTCCCACGCGTCCCGCACTTCTCCTTCACCCAGGATGTCTCGGATGCGCTCGACAGCCGCGACGGTGTCGCTGATGACAGCTTGGAGTGTCTCCGGGACGGACTTTCCGGTGACGGATGCGCGCTCGTGGATGTAGGTGTCTGTCTCTCCGGCGAGTTCTTCCTTGTAGAAGGAGAGTATATCGCTGTGCACCGAAACGATTAGCATACAGTCACGTTATAAAATCGCGTTGGATATGAAGCTCACTTTACGTAGCTAACGTAGAGCATCACATCCCTGGTGAGGAGAAAATCAGTATTTCAAAGAGTTTTTTCGCTGGCGCATCAGAGACTTACGGGATGGCTTGCATGAACACCTTCGCGTCGGGGAACCGGGACTTTTCCCAGATGAAGCAAGCGTATGCCTCCGTCGTGGCGCTCATGCTCCGTTTGTACTCCACAAACTGGAGAGCATCACGCGACAACGGCACGCCGCTCGCGTCGTTCTCCAAAAGCGACGCATTGATGTATCGCAGCGCGGAAGCGTATATCGTGTTGGCGGAGAAGCCAGAGTAATGCTCCCACATGCGGCCTAGGATCTTGGTGAATTCACCGAGCATGCCTGCGTTTTGCTGGATGTCGCCTGTGCACATTTGGAGGAGGAATGTGCGGGCGTCGAGTGCGTTGAATACGGCTGGGTCGTCGATGGCGATGATGAGCGTCGTGAAGAGGGTGATTTGGACTCTGGTGTCGAGGCTTGGGATGTGGTTGTATGCTGTTACGGTGAGGATGATGGCGGTGATGAGATGAGGGCGAAGGAGGTCTGCGTTGCCCCATGGTTGTACGGCTTCCTTGACTCGAGCTTCTAATTCGGCGTCTCTCTTGTAGTTCGGAAATGTGAGGTTGATCTTCTTGAGGAAATTACGTATCACAGTTTGAGACGTCGTAGCAGCGTTCTAACGCAGGAGCATTCAAAATATCAGTATTGTACAACGTAGATAAAACACGTTAGTGACATACCGGTACGTTTGTCTGAGAGATAGCCATGGCGTAGCGGTTTCAACGACAGTTTCTAAGAAAAGGAGCTCGGATGACGAAAGTCTGCGCTGTAAGTCTACTGCTTGGTCGACCTGGGGTGTGAGGAGATGCAGGTCAGCAGAGGGAACGACCGTCCTGTACTTATAGTGTAGCATTACTGTGGCGTGCGCGACTCGCAATCCCGTAGGTTCACTGCCTTGATTGCACCGTAGATTGGAGGTTGCCGAATTCATGAGCAATAACCGTACGAAAAAGGTTACGACGGCCGGCTGGACCTCCGTTCCGACCACTTACGACGCAGGGCTCTCATCCCTAATTGGAGCACTGGTTCGAGTTCAAGTAGACCGTTTGATCGTCGTATCACGGTGACGCGGCTGATACTCGGTACCTACCCAGAACACCTTCGTGAACATTCTCTCCGTGCGCCTTTCCCGAACGTGACGTGTGTGGCTTTGTAGACGTGACATCGATTACTGAACTGGCGCTGGAAATGTCTGCTTTGCGTAGGCCATGCCCATTATGTTCCCGAAATTGCGAGCAAATCCTCAAGCGATGCACGGAGGAGTTGGAGGGCCGTTTTGACAGAGCTCGAAAAGGAAATGTTGACAACCGCAACGTTTCAGCGCGCCTGATCACCGATTGTAACTCGGAGAAGCCAGCGATGCATTGACTCCTGGAGCAGGGGCATCTGAGAGTGCAGTCCTGCTTTGATCGGATCGTCTAGAGGGACAGCTTCGATCGCAGAGGCTATGTCTGCCAAAGCGTTCGAACGGGGGATCTACTGATATATCATGCCAGTGATGAGCAGAGAACATCATTGCCAAGCTGTCTCAAGTGCATGAGTTTGGTAAGACAACAGGAGAATTTCGAGCGCTTCAAGCACAATTGTCACTGCTGTACACTGACGACATATCGCGTCACGCCTGCTATTGACTTGGGAATCCAGTGTGGGGAAAGAAGAACATGTCCATAGACTCACCCAATTGGTGGGAGATAGTCGGATGACACTTCCGAACTCGAGGTACAGGATGAGCGGCAAGGTGAACGCTAAAGCGCCAAGTGTCACTCTGTCATGACATTCTGCAAGAGAGGAGCAGCTACATTGCCATGTTACCGCGAGCAGGGCGTTTGGTCGGTGGACAATACTAATATAGCTGCTCGCGGATCATACAAATTTGAAAATCCTTGCGATGCACTTGCCAATCCGCACTTTGGTGGGTATGCAAGAGGTTTGGTTGTGACCAGATCAGCACGTAAAAGGACAGCCTCGGTTGTGTTGACAGTCGGCGCGTTAGGTCAGATGACCGAACAACGGTCCTGAAATGATGTTGCTTCCGAGGAAAGACGTGCCTTGGCCGTATCGCGCTTCGCTATCATAGCGCCGGTTATGCACCGAGATTGGCCAAAGATGTAGCCGGCTTTTCATTGGCCATCAAAACGTGTCTTGGGCCACCACGCTGTGCGCCTTCTCCGTTCATAATCAAACTCAAACTTGGGTGAGTTGGCGACAAGCGCCGGGTCCAAATAACAGTTGCGGCAGAAGCATGGTGCAGGGGAGAAACAGCAGCAATCGGGTTTAATCACAAAAGGGCTGTATACACGAGCAATGCATTGAATGACGGAGAGCATAATTACAAGTGTGGAGTAAAGTGTTTACCGTCGTACGTGGACACGTAGGTATGATAAGGAGCCTGTTAACGTTACGTGTGAATGGTACTGGAATGTCAGCAGCCCTCGCAGCAACCATCGTTGATGTTATACCTCCACATTGCACCGTGGACAAGGTCGATGGCCATCCAGCTAAGCCCCATGGCCCACTGCCCCATCCACCAACGTCTATGTGCGCCAAACGCGGCTCACTTCATTGATGAAGCGCAACTCGCTGGTCTACTTTCAGACGCAGATGTCCCTGCAGCTCCAAGCATCATTGCAGAGCGATGCAAGCAGCTCCATTGGAGCACGTCAGCGGAGCGGCGATTCGTACAAGCGCACGAAGAGGCTCTCTGTGCTGACGCTCACTCCCCTCCCCCTACATTTGCCACCGCGCGACTGTGTTTTGACATCTTCTAGCACGGTCCTCACACCGTGTTGCGCAATGGAAACGAATGCCTCGGAAGGGCGATCGACTAGCGGTTCGGTGGTCGAAGCCTTTCGTCCCGCCGCGGCTTGCCGATTAGTATCGCGGAAACTCGTCGCCATCATCAATGATGCTCACGGCACGCTCTGTCCCCGCGAAGCCGCGCTCGGGCGACATGCGGACGGCAGCGTCGCTTTTGGCATACAACACCCCAGGGGCCTGGCAGACGGAGGGCACGCCTGCACTGAATGGCTGTAGGGCGCGGAGAAGCAGCCTCAGAGAGTAATCAGCACGACGCCAACGGGGATTAATGCGCGAATACGTATGAGGGCGGCCCACCCACATTAAGGTCGAACCAGTGGAGTGGAGACGATGAGCACCAGGTTGGCCGACGTTCCGCCATCCTATGTTGCCCGCTTGATGCAGCAGTAGTATGGCATTAGATCGATGTAAGGCGTGAATGGTAGCAGTATAAACGTAGCGGCACAAGTCGAACTTTCAGCCCATCGGTCGTCTGAACATATACGGGCCGGGATCAGCGGCGCTGTATCAATCCGATGGTGCACGATATAACCTTGGCACCAGAGGCCGTCCGAATGCTGTGTACAGCAAGATGGGCGGGTGAGTTAGGGCGAAAGCGATGCAGGCACAAACAACACGACGTGACGAAACAGAAGGGTCAAGTGAGGGCAAAAGTGGCGCTGGAGCTGACATCAGCGTTAGGGCAAGTGACGACGAAAACAGGCAGCATGTTGAAGAAGTACATGACAGTAACGGGCTGCAAGACGACGGTGAAAAGCGACGTTGGCGCAGGGAAGATCACACAGAGGGTAGGGTCGAGCACGTTGGAGCGAAAGCGGAGCACGAGCTAATGTCAGCGGGGCGAGTCCGAGCGAAAGCGGCGCATCAATGACTCGGATCGAGAGAAGCGCTAACCCGAAAAGGGTGATCGGACAACCTCCTATTTCTTACGTAAGCGTCAAAGCCTGCATGCATGGTAATAGCCAAATACCATTCTGTTATTTGGAACTCTAAATGTAGCCCCTCATATCATGTTTCAGCCCCGACGACAACATTATTTTTATCTCCGACGATGCGCGGTGTCATGCCCGGCTTCATGGAGTATCCAAACTCTGCAGATTGGCTTCGCGGCATCCTTGTTAATCCCCATTACACCGAGCGGGGACCTACTTGACTCTGACTGACTGTCAATGCGGCAGCTACTACTGCAAAGAAAGTTCCATTCAAATCTAGGAGAAGTTTTGAGTCACTAAGGGCGGTTTGGCAAAAATCGACGCGCAGGAAAGGTGCAATTTCAACACCTTTACCTGCACCAAGGGTTGCTGTGTGCGCCACGTCCCTGGCCAGGCAAGCAGCTCGATCATGCGTTGCCGCACAAGCGCCAGCCAACTGATTTCTCTGCTGCTCGACGTTGAATTCACCACGCAGCACACAGGTGACACAGAATACAGAGATAGTCTAAAGTCCTCTTTTCCAAGTACATTTGGGCTAGTGTACAACTTATTTGCCTACTTCTTACTCCTTCGACACCTTGATGACAACCTTGCCAATGTGCTGCTGGCTCTCCAGATACTCATACGCAGCACGCGCTTCCTCGAACTCAAAGATCGAGTTGATAACAGGCTTGATTTGACGCGCGGTGATGAGGCGGTTCATGTCCTCGAACCTGCCAGCCATCGTTAGTGCAATGGGTAATGACACGCATGCAAGGAATGCTTACTGGGTACGTGACCCTATAAGGATACCTCGGAGCGTCACAGCCTTGCCGAGGAGCAATGCGGGTAGGTTGCCTAGATCGCCAGTCTGGTGCAACTAGGTTAGCTTGCACTTGCGTTCAGCAAGCAGAATCTACTCACTCCGACGCCGGCGACAAAGCCAATGACATGAATAAAGCCGCCATAACGAACGGACTGAATGGACTTGTGCAGGGTGCCCACGCCGCCGACTTCGATGACGTGATCGACGCCCCTGCCGTGTGTCTAATGCACCGTCAGCAGAGTACAACACGCAAGCGGACAACGACGAACCACTCGGAGGACTTCCTTCTCCCAATTCGGCGTTTTCTTGTAGTTGATGCAATGTGCGGCACCGAGCTTCGCGGCCACTTCGAGCTTGCTGTCTGATGACGACGTCACGATGACGTCGGCACCGGAAGCTGCGGCGAACTGCAGCCCGAAGGTCGAGACACCTCCCGTACCAAGCACAAGGACAGTGTCTCCGCCCTTGAGAGGGACTGGTCCCATGAGCGCGTTGTAGGCTGTCAGTGCGGCGCATCTGAAAGTACGATTCATCAGAGCATGATAGGGGTACACAGATGCAGGCGACGCACGGCAATGTGGAGGCCTCAACATAGGAGAGATGGGGAGGGATCGTCACCAAGGCCTGCCGTTCAGTGTCATCAACTCAAGCGCAGGATTACTCGATGGAGAAGGCGTACGTGTGCTGGTAGAATCTTGTACTCGGTGAGCACGCCGTCAATGGGAGCGCCGAGGCCAGATAGCTTAATCTCCTCGGTAGGGTCTCCGAAGATGTGTTCCGTGGAGAAGTTGGAGCACACACGGTCGCCGACACTCCACTTCGTAACCTGATCGCCGACAGCAATGATCTCGCCTGCCATATCGGAGCAAGGGACAGGATCCTCCTTTTGGCCTAGAGGATATTGGCCCTTTGCGACTACAAGGTCACGGTACTATTCGTCGGGCGTGAGATAATGCGGCTTGCGGAAGAGGGGGGACGAACCTGGAGGGACACTGCGTGCACCTTCACGAGCACCTCTTTCGACTTGAGCGCACGGACGGGGGCGCGACGCAATGTGAGGTTGTGGAATCCATCGACCTGGAACAGTAGTAGTAAGGCACTTGGCTCACGAGTGGATTGCTAATGAGATGCGTACCTTGGGCAAATGGTATTCACGGGTTACCGTGGGGATGGGCGCTGCAGTGTGGGGTGGTACCGTCAGAGACATGGTTGGTGTAAGTGCGTGTTAGGAGGGGGCTCTTATATGGCGGAGAGGGGAAGGCCTAGGGGCCTAGGTGCGGGAGAGAGCTTAAGAGCGAGACCGTGGAGGGGCTTCACATGAACCGGATTATGACGACATGCACGACGATGAGCAGCCCGGTCGAATCGTCGAGAGGCCTCCGAAAGCCTGCCATTGGCCAAGCCACTCCGTGCGATGCTTTCTCCGCGATGTTCACTGCGGCCGCCGGCCAGCTTAGTTGTCTAACCAATCGTCGGGTGCGTCGTGCTCGTCGAGACTGCGGGACACCGTCAGCGAAGAGCTCGGGAGGACAGCGGATAGTCCAGTTCTGGAGAGTTAGGTGGAGGGCATTTGGGTTCTAGCTGGAGCGGAAAAGAAAGAGGTCGGCCGCGGTGGGAGCGTCGAGCGTCTACATCACGCGCTCCGTCGTGGGCGAACGCGACTGTCTCCACGACGTCTGAGAGTGTGCCCACGACGTCTTTGACAGCGACCACACTGCCCTCCCCGCTGTCGTGCACGCCGCACCCATGTATGCCCAGCCACAGGCTCGTCCGTCTTCCAGCTATCAGCCGGATTTCGCTCCTCAGCGCCCGTACGCAGACTTGGACGCGCGCGACAGTCGGCCGCTTTCTCAGGTATCCTACCAGGGCCCTCCTCCTCGTTCCTCCTCTCGTCCTCCACGCTCCTCTTCTCGCCCTCCAAGATCTTCCTCGAGACCTGCGACCCAGATTGAACAGCAGTACGATGACTATGCCTATGACCAGGAGTCGCCTTCTCCGCCAGATCCCGACGGGGACGACTTTTACACTTCCTCCCAGGCCAACGTTCATGACCAGTACACACTACCAGCCCAGTCCATCGCCACGCAATCAGTCCGAGCTCCCTCTCCCCCCGCTGCTCTTCTGGACCACTCGCATCTCCGTCCCGGCAAAGAGGCAGCCCTTCTGTCCCACGCACGCACACTCGAGCTCTACCGTGCCAATGCAAAGAAGACGCAAGACCCCGACACTCAATTCGAGTTTGCCGTATTCATGATCGACGCATCCAAGACCATGACCATGCCCGTCCCCACCCCCGGCAACGTCATGGAAGTCGAAAAGGCAGAGCAGAAGCGAGAAGACCTCATTCGCGAGGGTATCGCCCTGCTGAAGAAGCTCGCAGATCGCGGACACATGCCCTCACAGTACTTCCTCGCCGACTGCTACGCCAACGGCATCGGCACGCACAAGAACCGCCAGGACTTTGATCGCGCCTTCCCCCTGTTCGTACTCGCCGCGAAGCACGGACACCCCGACGCTGCCTACCGCGCAGGCACATGTTGCGAGAACGGCTGGGGCTGCAGACGCGAGTCGGCCAAGGCCGTCATGTTCTACCGCAAGGCGGCCGCCGCAGGCCATCCCGGTGCGCTCTATCGCTTAGGCATCGCCCAGCTCAATGGCGAGCTCGGCCTTTCCAAAAGCCCTAGAGAGGGAGTCTCGTACTTGAAACGGTCAGCCGAGCATGCGACTGCCGAGTTCCCGCATGCTCTGCATGAACTGGCGCTGCTCCACGAGAGGGGCATCGACAATGTCCTGTTTGTCGACAATGAATATGCGGCGGAGCTCCTCGCGCAGGCTGCTGAGCTGGGCTATGCCCCGAGCGCGTATCGTCTGGGAGAGTGCTACGAGTATGGGAAGATGGGTTGTCCGCAGGACCCAGCGCTGTCAATACACTATTACGTGCGTGCTGGAATCCTGCTCTCGGTGCGACCTAACATCCCTTACTTCCATCTCGCACCAGAATATCGCAGCGCAGCAGAATCACCGCGACGCGTGCTTCGCGCTCACTGCGTGGTACCTCGTCGGCTCGCCCGGTGTCCTGCCCCAATCTGACACGGAAGCCTTTCTGTGGGCAAAGAGGGCGGCCGAGGCGGGGCTGCCAAAGGCGATGTATGCCGTTGGCTACTTTCTTGAAGTTGGGATAGGGACGGAGCCGGACGTGAACGAGTGCGTGCATATTTCGCTTCAGGCGTTACTGTCCGTAGTACCTGGCTGACGTCTTCATTCCTATCGGTATTAGAGCGAAGACATGGTACAAGCGCGCCGCGGAGAAGGGAGACAAGCGTGCGGCCCAGCGACTCAAGGGCACTGGTCCTATGGCTGAGCCTGGCGGGCCAGGCTCCGTGCTGCATCGCAGTATGAGCGGCAGCGACGAGGCGTCCCTCGCCCTCTCCGGTAAGAGCGGGAAGGACAAGGACTGTAGCATAATGTGAGGCGTGGGAGAGGGACCGGTTCGCGGGTGAGACATCTATGCATATGGATACGTGGGACACCGGTCATGGACGCATGTGGACTGCTATTGTACGTACGCCCCTCCCCGCCTTTTATTTTCCCTGCTCGCGGATTTGACTTTGTATATGCCACCCTCCCTTGAATAATCTGCAGGGTGAACGGGGATCACGATACGATGTGCGCCACGGATGTTTTTTCGTCTAGACATATACCATTACATTAATCCAAGCTACTTCACCAATGCGATCTGCAGTCTGCTACGATTGAGTCCGCACCGCGTCGCGATCAACGGTCGGTACCTTTCCTCCTTCAGTAACATTCCCAACTATGTCCTCCCACAGCGATCAGCCTGTTGAACAGCTCGTCCCTCCCCTTGATCGCCGTCAAGACCCGCTTCTCACCCGCCTCGTCCTCAATCTCAAGCCCGTCAACAACCTCCCGCTGCAACGCCCACCCAATGACCATCTTCCCCTTCCACCCATACCCGCCCACCTTCCTCAGCCCGCCCACCTCCTTCAGCGCGATCGTGAACACCCCCGGAGGCACCTCGGGCTCCGGCCCCGGCCCCGCTTTCACAGCAGCAGCAACGGTCTTCGCGATGCTCGCCAGGTTCCGCTTCAAGTCCTTCTCCCACACGAACGAAAGAAAGGGAGACGCGGCGCTCGTGACGAGCACGACGTAGCCGCGCTTCCCGTGCATACGCGCCGCGTAGGTCGTCGGCCCGTCGCCCACGCCGACTCGACTGCCCGTTGGGCCATCGCTCGTGATGACCTTGTCCTCGTCTTCAGGCACGGCGCCCAGTCGGCGCTTGGCTGCTTCGGACCCCATCTTCGCCTTTATGTGGTCGATGCCCAGCGCACCGCTGACTGTCGCTTTTCCGGTGCCTTTGAGCAGCTTGGTGAGCTTGTTCCCGGATCTGGGCTTCCCTGCGTTTCCGTCGGTGTCGGCTTCGCTGTCCTGCTGTGCGTTCTCGTCCGCGTGGGCGCTTTCGACTTCGTAATTCGACGCGTCGAACTCGTAGTCGCGTTCCTTCACCGCGGCCTCTGGGTCGCTATGTTCTTCTCCCTCTGTCACCTTGTTCGTCGAAGGCGGAGGAGGCAGCGGAGTCTTGTGTGCTTCGGCGATCCTCAGAAGCGTAACGGTCAGTTGCGCATTTGTAGGTACACCCTTTAGAAGTGTCCTACGTCGAAAGAATATTCGTCTCACAGTTACTCACAAGCAGTTTCACGCACGCACCTCCTGAGCTCCAAGGCCTCTCTCCAGTTGGGGTAACGCGTTGTTATCCAGTGCACCGAACGCGTCATGATCGGCTGTCCGAAAATGGCAAACCCGATGCCGAAAGTAGTCGCCTTTACGAAGAGCGCCGATGGTACAATCGTCATCGCAACCATCAGCGATAGTACGACCGCCGCGAGGCGAAGGCGGGGCGCGTGCGAGAAGGGCGGCGTCGGCGACAATGCACTGCGAACAGGTGAGCACGGCGGGATTGACGGCAACGCAACGGGAGAACGCACTTGCCGAAGCGTTCCCAAGTGTCCACGACGTCCGACAACGCACGCATCGCAGGACGCGCGGTCTCCCACATCGCCGCCTCGACGTGCGTCTTGGTCGCATCGTGCTTCCCATCCGCCCGCGCGCCCTGAGCGACGTGTGTCGCATCCGCCGTCTGCGCCGCAATCTGCGTCGGCTCAGGCATCGCAGCGCCAATACCACCCTCCTCCTGCTTCGCGGCGTCGACATCCTCCGACTGGCCCGCGTGCGGTGCGACTTTCTGCCCTGTGGCGGTGCCGATGGCGAGGGAGGCGACGCCCGACACGAAGTTGGTCGCTTCTTGCTCTACTGCCTCGCCCTTGTGCGCTTCTGGTGCGCCTGAGAGGCTGTCACCGCTGCCGATGGTGCCCGCGCGTGGGACCTGGAGGTTGCCTGACTTCGCGCTTACGGCGGCGAGTGGGGCTGGTGGGAAGAGATAACGACGGGAGGGCGGGTGCATGATGAGAACGAGGAGTGTCATGCTGATGAGGGCACCGAGGAGGTTGTTGAACCAAGCGAGATAGTATGCCTGGAGGAAGCGTCAATTGTTATATTCAAGATGACAGTGCATTCGTACTTACGATGGTGAAGCCAGCGGTGCGGCGTGGCTCGTTCCACGAGCGAATGCGTGCAATGTGCTTGCCGAACGCGGCGATCCCGATGATCTAGGATGGGAAAATTTTTAGTGTGCTTCCCGTGTCGTACGGCGGGTGAGCTGTGCGCACAATGCTCATATAGAACCGCTCGAGGTGAGCGCGCAGCTTGTCTGGTGAAAATTCCTCATTCTCGGATATTTCCAGATCTAGTTGGCCCAGTGGAGGCGGCGGTATCGCCTTGACATGGTATATTTGCTGCGCAAGAGGTAGATGAGATTGAGACAAAAACAGGATTTGGCACACTGACGCACCTTGTTGAATCTGCGGATCAAAGTGAACAGATCCTCGTTGGAGAGACCGTGCACGATAGTTGGCGGTAGATGTGCTAGGTCTCTGTTCCACCCGATGTCCCTTACCTCGGGATCCTTCAAGTCGAGCTGAATGTCGGCACTGGCGCCGGGATCTGGTGGGAGTTCTACCGTCTGCGCGATGACGTTTGCGTCGGATTGCAGGAGAGGATTTCCATCGGGGGCGGTAGCGAGTGCTGTCCGTGGGGTGGCAGGAGATACCGCTGAGTCGATGGGGACCTCAGAGTACTCTGGGGGGAGGTCTCCTGCAGGTCGAAGTGCTGGGTCCTCCATGGCGCTCAGAATGAAGTGAGGGTAGTTGGGTGATGGTCAATAGGAGGAACGAGGGCGCTGGTTGCGCTCCGCCGAACGCCAGGGTTGCCATGTCCAACTCACTCCATGACGTACCTATTTAAGCAGTGATCGAGTATCTGTGTGGCATAGGGGCCGAGCGCTCCCTGCCATCGAGACAGAGCCCCACCGGGGACTGCCACCGTTTTTCCTGTGTACGCCTTGCAGAGTGCTCTATATGGATCGGGGAATGATCGAGTCCTGGTAGAGGAGGTAAAACCTGTCGCCATTATCATATAGTCTAACCTCTCATCTAGGTGACCGAGCTCTTTTCCACTGTCAAGGGATGTGGTGTTTACAACCCACTTGCCATCTTGAAAGTCGACCTTGGTCACTTTGGTATGCAGCCTGAGGTCTCCGTCGCGCACGTACTGCTGAGCATAGGCGTGCTGGCAGGTATCGTCCCATATCATCAGAATATCCAACTTTTCCAGTGGCAGCATAAGAGAAGAAGCACGTGTGGCGCGCGAACTACTGTATTTGTTGTCATGAGTGGCCGGTGGAATGGATGGTCGGATGACCATATTCCACCGATATCGCTGCAGGATTCGAAGATCGCCGCTTGAAGTTGAGGATAGTGGGTGATGTGCCACAAGTTCGGCTTGGCCACCGCCTAGCATGCGATGAGTGACAGTTGACATGGAAAATACTTACCTATGATGGCAACACGCTTCAACTTGGAGGAGCAGTTCCACGATTCCATCAGGCTCTTTAGGATGAACGCTTGAATGATGACATTCAGAGTATAGCGTGTCCAAGGTTCAAGTACGAGCACGGAGGATACAATTCCATCACTGATTGTGACCAAGGTTAGTATACGGAGTGAACCTTACAATCGCGTCGGGGGCTTTATGATCTGATCCTAGTCTCACGATAAATCTTGCCTTCCGAGCCTTGGATACCACCAGGCGAATGCTTCACTAGATATCTACACTGTCGTACAAAAGCCAGACGACTCAAATCATCAGGACGAGCCCAATTGTTCAGGGCCTCGTAAACGTAGTCTCGCTAACGACGCCCTCGCTGGAACTGTCTCTGATTTCGAACTGCGTCACCTCCGCGCCATTGAAAACGAACTTGTAGCTCGCGAGGACCGCCACCTCCGATCCTCTTCCTATTGCGCACCAACCATCCGAACCATGTTGCTCCGCGAACGAGGACTCGTTGGGAGAGTCGCGCGAGACGGCCTCGATGTTGTGCTGCCAGCTATCCGTTTGATCTTCATCCGGAGGTTGTTCATAATCGGCGCGAACAACGCTCCACACAGCGATGGTATCGCTAGCAGGATCGTAGCGATAGACTGCCGTGCGCTGCTCTTCAGCCGACTCTCCCGTCGCGGATATGAACACCCCTCGTTCGTGATAGAGATATTCGCGGATGACAGCCTCGGTCATGGCCCCTGGTCCGGTCAGTGGACCAGTCATAGGGCGCATAAGGAACGTGCCAAAGCCCACAAATTGGCCATTCATTGCAGGCTGTGATGCGCTGTGGACGGTGCGATCGACCTGCCACTGGCCCGCCCACGAACGGAATGCAGCGCCTCGAACCCAAGTCCCGGATGTCATAAGCGTGAAGGCGCTTTCCGTATCGAGGCGGATCTCCTCGACGTCGTGCGTGACTTCGAGCGGATAGTTTGCAGCTACCACGTAAGTCGCATCGGACATCGGGATGCCAAGCAGATCGGCGTAGCTCTCGAACAAGCCAGCGTAGTCGCCGTGAGGGAACTGAATGCCCGACTTGCTCGAAGCCTCTCGCACACTCTCCTCCAAGGCCACACCCTCCTTCATCTCGTCATCCGAAGGCCAGCTTTGGGCTCCCGAAAAGATTGCCGCCAAGTAACGCGCCTGGAGCTCGATCACCCCGTAGTACGATCCTCGATACATGCCCACGAATCCGGCGTTTGGCAGGTCAGGATGCAGCACGAGGCGATGAGAGAGGAAGGGAACACTACGATTATTCGGCTGGAAACTGATCGCATCACGGGCGCTCTGAGAGAGGTATGGCAGCACGATGTTGTAGCCAGTGCACATGATGACAACGTCTGGACGATCGATACGGTCTCCCGTGGAAAGAACCAACTCGCCGGTCGTCGTATCAACCGCCGCCAGCCTCGCGAGGTACGTCTGCACGATCCCCGTCTGGATCCCACCCCTGTAAAGCTCGGACATGCCGACCTGCGCGGGCGTGCTGGTGTCGAATTCGAATGAAGGGAGAAGATTGTTCGGAAACAATGACTGAAAGTAGGCATGCGTGCTGCGATTGGCAGCGGGAGTCGGGTTGATCGCTTCTGTGCGACGGCCGTTGAGATCTGTTCTGTTGTACGACAACAAATCCCAAGGAAGGAACGATGGCATTGCAGAGGAGTTGGTTGGTGTATAGAGGGGCGAGACGTAGAACGGCCTCGGAGTGATGTGATGGACTTTGCGGGCATAGGGTGAAAGCGCACCAGCGATCTCAACGGCAGACAGTGACCCACCCACCACGGCGACGGTCTTGTCCAAGTACGCGTCGGGATCCTTGAACATAGCTGAGTGTTCGAGGACGGGGAAATTGTCTATTCCTGGCAAATCGGGGATGTATGGACTCGAAAAGAAGCCTGTAGCGATGATCAGGTAATGAAAAACCTCGACGTGTGCAACGGAATTGCCATCCTGCTGCGTGGAAACGCTTTTCACCATCCACTTGCCATCCTGATAGTCCACCGAGGCGACTTTGGTATTCAATCTAACGTCAGCTTTGTCGACATAAGTCTGCGCATACACGTCAAGGAAGTGGCCCATGTCCCCGGAGTACCGAAAAAGGTCCTTCCTCTCGCGTCCTGCATCCGCCGGCCAAGGGACATCAGAAAAGGTACACGTGTGGCGACATATGTTGGTCGTCATGAGTGGACGGTGGTGAGGATGGTCAGGGGACCATATTCCACCGAGAGAGGGCGAAGCTTCGAAGATGACTGCTTTCAGGTTCTGGCAATTGCTCATATGCCTATATGCTACGAGACCGGCTTGGCCACCGCCTGGAAATTGTGCATGACGGTGAGAGACGCGTGAGGATATGCAGGATTATGCTATGTACCTATGATTGCTACTCATTTCTGGGAGCCGGGTTCCATGGTACGAGAGGGACGTCGGGATTGAAAGTCAGCAGGACCATCCGTGATACGAAGGAATATATAGGTAGGTGAGTGGCATACGTCTCATCGTGCACATGAGCTGCGCATGTTGAGAACTCTATCGTTGGAAGATCAGTGAATGCTTAGCAAGTTCTGTTGACAGCGAAGTGTCCGAATGAACGGAGTTTTGAACAAGCCGAGAGCACGAGCACTGGCATCGTGAGACCGAGACGTCGACAACTAGCGGTATCATTCCTTGTTGCGACACTTCGAGGGACAGAACGATGTCTGGCATCGACCCGAGACCCAGCTGATGCTTCCATTCAGGTCAGCCAAAGTCAAGGTGATGGATGGAAGGCGCACAATTCTATTGCCAAATCCCCCCGAATTGAGAATGCGAGTCAGGTCATACGGAAGAATCGATTGTGCAGGTCAAACTAAACCCAGCACCGATTCTATTGATGTGTCGGTCAATGGTGAGCTCCGGTGTACCGAGAGCCTATATTTGGTGCACGAGCTTGACCTTCGGTGGGTGGTCTGAAACACGCGTTGTTCTCAGGAAATGAAAAGTCCGCAGCATCTCTGATCAACATAAGTGCATAACCACTATTGGCGATGCACGTTGGTAGCAGATACTGACGACTCGATAGGGACTTTGGAGTACTCTGGGGGAGGTCTTGTGCAGGTCGTCGGAGCGCTGGATCCTCCATGGCGATCAGAGTAAAGTGAGAGTAGCGTGCGCAAGAGTGGCAGTCAACGGCGGGAGGTGATAGATAACAGAGGGAACGAGGGATGCTGGTCGCGCTCCGCCCTGCTCTATGACATACCCGAAGCAGTGATCAAGTGGCGACCTAACCCAGTACTGTCCCATAAACATTCATCATCATATCCTGACGCTCCGCCGTCCGATAGACATTCATCATCATGTTCTGAGACCGGTGAAGGCGAGACTCAGGCAGAAACGGAGTATACGGCCCTCGAGTCTGCGTTGCCCACCATGAAAGAGCTTCAGCAATGTAGATTGACGGTTGGTGCTGCACCCGGCACGTACGAGCAAAGACGGTGCAGAACTTACGCGCGTGTGTTGTCCGTCGAGATCACGATGAAGGTCGACGTCGTTATCCGAGTGCGTCAGAACGAGATGGGCCAGATGCGCGGCCGATCAAATCGCGATTTGTGTGATCACGAGTGCGTTCGTGTCCGCGCCCCCCGCTCATCGCCCCAGCCATGCCATTCTCCCCCTCTGCCCATCCTCGGCTCTCTTCCGAGTCACCGACGTCCTGTTGCCCGCTCACCGCATGCTCTCGCCCGCCATGCTCACGAACACGCGTCGTTCAGTGGCGCGCTCGCTCTCTCGCGTGCCTCGCAGCTTCACTCCGGGCTTGACTGCTGGCACGCGTCTGGACAACGACCATGACGCGCATCCGTCCCTGGCTCGCTCGCTGTCGTCGCTCAGAAGCTCTGCTCGAGGCCGGCCTGCCGCTGCCGCTGACACATGGAGGAACGCGCATCTCCGTGAACGCACTGCAATCCCTTCCATTCATACCGCCCTGTCAGACACCCGCAGAGCCGTCTCGGCGCCCTCACCAGACAGGAAGCCCCACTTTGACAAGATCCTCATCGCGAATCGGTGCGTGCGCTCTCTCCGATGCCCTGACGTAGCACTCATCGCGATCCCTCTGAAGAGGCGAGATCGCGTGTCGTGTGATCCGCACGGCGAAGAAGCTGGGAATAACGACCGTCGCGGTCTACAGCGAGGTGGATGCCGACGCACTGCACGTTCGCTTGGTACGTGCATCAGACGCGACGCGCGACGCCTTTCACTTACGTCGCGCCGTGCACTCTAGGCGGACGAGGCGTACTGTATCGGGCCTGCCGCATCATCGGAGAGCTACGTAAGCCCATTCGTGCCCGCCGCGTATTGACTACGACCTGAACGCTTCGCCCGCAGCTCCGCATGGACAAGATCATCAAAGTCTGCCACCGTAGCGGCGCTCAGGTCAGCTGCGTCTTCCCCAGATGAACAAGCTCTAACGCGCAGCTCGCAAGGCCGTACACCCCGGCTACGGCTTCCTCAGCGAGAACGCGCACTTTGCGGAACGTCTCGCGCACGAGGGCATCGCGTTCATAGGCCCTCCCGCCAGTGCCATCGTGAGCATGGGTTCCAAGAGGTAGGCAATTCCAGCGTCTCGCACGCCGCTTGTCTGACTGACAGGCACGGACTCTAGCGAGTCAAAGACGATCATGTCAGGTACGCATTGAATCGCTGCCGTTCTCTAATTCTTTCTGACGGCTATACTGCAAAACAAGACGCGGGCGTGCCAGTCGTCCCAGGCTATCACGGGGCAGATCAGGATCCCGCACTGCTCGCTCAAGAAGCGACTCGGATCGGTTCGTCCTCTGTCCCTCCCATGACCTCGCTACTGACCTGCGACCGCAGGCTATCCGGTGCTCATCAAAGCCGTGCACGGCGGCGGCGGCAAAGGCATGCGCGTCGTGCGCTCCGCTGCCGAATTCGCGGACACGCTGGAGAGCGCACAGCGCGAGGCGCGCAAGGCGTTCGGGAACGAGCACGTACTGGTCGAAAAGTTCATCGAGCGGCCGAGGCACGTCGAGGTGCAGGTGTTTGCGGATGCGCTGGGCGGGTGCGTGAGTCTGTGGGAGAGGGACTGCTCGGTGCAGAGGAGGAACCAGAAGATCATCGAGGAGGTGAGTGTGATACAACTATCGCAGGAGAGCTTGATGGTCGACGGACACGCTCTGTAGGCACCGGCACCCGGCTTGTCACCGGAGTTGCGCGCGGACCTGAGCGCAAAGGCCGTTGCGGCTGCCAAGGCTGTGAACTACGTCGGTGCCGGCACCGTCGAGTTCATCTTTGACAACGATACGGACAAGTTCTACTTCATGGAGATGTACGCTCGTCCTCCTGGTGCTGACCCTCTCGCAGTCGCTGACAATGCCCGTGCGTTAGGAACACGCGGTTGCAGGTGGAACACCCTGTCACGGAGATGATCACCGGGTTAGATCTGGTCGAGTGGCAGCTGGAGGTATGTCAGTGTCGTGTCGGTCCAACCCGTCCTCACGATTCCGCAGGTGGCAGCAGGCAACCCGCTCCCTCTCGATCAGTCGGAAGTCCCGCTGGTAGGGCACGCCTTCGAAGCGCGGATATACGCCGAGAACCCGCGCAACGACTTCCTCCCCGACTCCGGGCATCTGCTCTACCTCTCCACCCCGACGCCCACGCTCACCTTCGCGGCCCCCGTCCCTCCCGCATCACGCCCGCCCGCCGAGGCGCTCGTCCCCGCCCTCAGCGGCTCTGCACACGCCGCGGTCGTGCCGTCCGTGCGCGTCGAGCAGGGCTTCGAGGCGGGCGCGCAGATCGGCGTGTTCTACGACCCGATGATCGCGAAGCTCGTCGTGCACGGCCGGGACCGCACGGAGGCGCTGCGCATGCTGCGGGGCGCGCTCGACGCGTACAGGGTCGTGGGCGTTTCTACGAATGTGGAGTTTTTGAGGACGCTTGCGGGGCATGGCGCGTTTGTGGATGGGGAGCTGGAGACTGGATTCATACCTGTGAGTGCGTCGCGAAGTTTGTATGCTAAGTCGGGAGTAGAAACATCGTGCGGAGCTGTTAGGGTGAGACGCACTCGCTCTGTCTCGCCGTGCGTCGCCACTGGCATGCGTGCACGAGACTGCCAGATGGATCCACGTGAGGTACGACCGTGCAGTATGTTAGAGATCGTGCCATGTAAGGAGCAGAGAGGCCTTTCACCGGATACAAGGCATATCGGACACTTTGCCGCAGTCTACGCTAGTCTCTGCAGCTCACAAAGGCCTGGTAAGCACGCTTTTGTTTTGACTACACTGAGTTGTGACCCATCATCTATTTCCAGCTAGTTTTGACATGCGCTCGCTGTCCTCCCCTTCTCCATGAATTCTCGATACCATTCCCACTTTGTGCTACCCTGATCCGGCACCGAATCCTCCATCGCCGACGATGCGCTCGTGCGCCTTTCCCATTCTTATCCCTTGCCGCCCAACTCGACCTCGCCCTCGACCTCGCCGTACCAGCCCGCTCATCCCGTTCAAGCCCCGTTCTCCTTGTTGCAAACAACATATCGTGGCTCATGAACCGCCCGACCGTCCCATCGACGTTACTTCACCAACCTCCCCGCGCTGGGTACATCAATGCGAAGGGTTTGAGCGCGCCGCCTCGTTTCGAGACCAGATCGTGCGTCGGGGCCACAGCATTGCGATCGAAGACGGAGAGCGTTCTTTGCGCTGCGTGCGCTCGACGCCGACGCCGACGGACCACAACGTGGACCGTGATTCGACGCAATGGACAGGGAGTGCGGGGAGACATCTCGAACGGTGAGCAGACTACCCGCTGCTCGATCCTTCGCGTGTACATGTCGACTGAAGCGTTTGAGCGCGCCGCCTTGTTCCGAGACCAGACCGCGCGTCGGGGCCACGCCATTGCGATCCAAGACGGAGAGCGTTCCTTGCGCTGCGTGCGCTCGACATCGACGCCGACGGACCGCAACGTGGACCGTGATTCGGCGCGATGGACGGGGAGTGCGGGGAGACATCTCGAACGGTGAGCAGACTACCCGCTGCTCGATCCTTCGCGTGTCCATGTCGACTAGCATGATCTGTGCACTCAATTGCCCCATTCGCGTCGAGGATGCCATCACCCTCGTGAGACGTGTGGATGGCCGGAGCGTATCGAGACGCAGGCGAGGTGTTGGCTACGTGGATACTGTAATTGACGAGGTGCGCTGCGAGAGACGGCCAAGACCGGTGGTCATCG